TTTTCAATTAATAAAATTCAAATAAAACACAGTCCGAGCAAAAGAACTTCGACTACATAAGATTTCCAACAACGTGATACATTCTGTTATTAAAATTACCAATGAAGTTAGTTACAATTTTACTTTAAACAAAGCCTACAATTTAAAATTGAAACCATATCATTAAAGTTTGGACAAAACATTAAGATAGAAAAAAACTAAAAAGTTATAGCAAAAAGCTACTTTCAGTATACAGTATTATCTTTCCAAAAGAGCAATTTTGCACGTTTTAGATTTACATATGACAATTTTCTGAATGTTACATTAAATTGCTGAAAGTAACTTTTTGTGTATTACTTTCCAACAAACGTTTCTACCTTGATGCTTTTATATTGGAGTTTTTTTTTTTACAGATTCTATTGAATTTAATAATAATTAATAAATCACATATAATTGTTTTTTTTATGAATGGAATCATTCATTCCCAATTTGCATCTCACCTATAACTAACTTCTCTAACACCTTCAGCTGGATATAGTAAATTTATATAAGGAGATTGCTCAATATGTAACACATTTCAAGTCTTCATTGTTGATACTAACAGTATATGCGTATAACGTTTCATTACTAATATCTTGTTCATATTAAATATATTTCTTCCTGGTTATATTACGATAAAACACTGCTTAACTTCATATGTTTAGGACGTAATCAAACGCTTCGCTAGACAAGACGATAAAGCCGATTTGGGGAAAACTACTGCAGAACAATAAGCAATCTTTGAAACTAACGATCCTTTTCAAGATCTGAAGAATATTCGGGTATCTATGTGACGGACAGAACCTTTTAAAATCAACCTTTAAGTACTTCAGTCTCTAAATAAGATGTGGTGGTAGACAGAGTTGAATTGTAAACAATATCATTAATATTATATGAATGATTAATTATCACTTACTAGGGTACTTCTTTAACTACCTGAAATAGCATGATTAGAAAAGCGTATAGAAGTTGGGTTTCGAATATCATTATGATGAACCAGAACATCTAGTGTAGCGTAAGGACTAAAACCAGTTGTTTTACTATTTAAACAAAGTAAATTCACGGGATAACTTATAAGATGAAGAAATTCTGCTTTCACTGTAGAGTGATTCAGTACTGCGACAAACATTGACTGTCACATTTACGTAGAGGGCTGACACAAGATGAAGATAGTCGAGTTTTGAGGGACGAATGATCTTTTCATTTTGTTAATCCTAGGTTGACCTTGACAGGTTTAAAGGTGGATTGCTTTGGTGTTGCTCTCGCTGCTGACCAGGTTTTCGGAATGACATTAAAGTTACGAAAAATCATTTTCTGTGGCGTAGGAGAGGAGGATGGATCCCAGCGTGTTGATGATACCGTTTCATGGGAGTTTTGTTGACATGCAGAAGTTGATTTCTCTGAAGAAAAAAAATCATGTGTTAGAAAAAAAATACGAAGTATTTTATAGTACTAAAATCAAGCGTTAACTAGTGATTAGCTTGTCAACTGTGGAACTGGGGTTCCATGGTTCGCACCACGTTACCGCCAAAAAGCAACACAAAACAAAACAAAACAATCACGCTTCTCACTCTAGGGCTATGGATACGCTATAAGAGTGACAGTAAATCCCTCTATTCAATTTGAGTAGCCCAAGAGTTGGCGATGGGTGATAATGACCATCTGCCTCCCTTTTAATTTATCACTTCAAAATTAGGGATGGCTACCGCAGATAGCTTTCGAGTAGCTTTGTGTGAAATTCAAAACAAACAAACGTTATTATAATGGATATAGAGGCGACACGTGAGCTGCGCCCACCTGGTGATAGGGTAGCTATCTAAGCTATTTGTGAGCTTTCACGAGTAATTTTTGGTTTGTATATATATATGGTTGCTAATTTACATTTTCTCCTATGATTTTTTTAAACTCGGTTTCGCAATATCTATATATGGCAATTTAAACAGATGAATACATGTAACAATTGTTAACCACGAACAATATAATCAGACCGTATAAATAACTCTTAATGTCTTTAGGAAACTCATCAACAAGTCATTCTTGTATTCAATGCTTTCCACACATACACCCTCCCAGTGGCTCAGAGGTAAGTCTGAGGGTTCACACCGCTTCGATACTCATGGTGGGTACAGCACAGATAGTCCACGTTGTAACTTTGTGCTAAGTAACAAAGAAACAAATTGTGTTAATTAATTTTTTAAGTAATTGTCTTCCATATCCGCGCTTCACAATTTTTAAAGTAGACAAGATATACGTTTACAGAGATTTGGTTATCCGGTAGCTGTAATCATAATTTTCGTTGAAAACTTGGTTTCAATGTTTCCACCGGTGGGTCAGCGGTAAGTTTGAGGATCTACTAAATCCGAGGCTTGATTCCCCACGGTTGACAGAGCGCGGATAGTACTAGCGCAGCTTTGCAATAAAAAAGTCTTTAATCTTTGTTTTCACCCCAAATTAAAAGAAGAGATGTTTCAAGCATAATTATTTTTCTCGAACAAAGTTGGCAGATACCTAACCTGGGAAGTGAATGAAACGACTAAAGGATGACTTTGCAACTTATAGCTTTTGTTTGGATACCAAATAAATTCAAATCCTTTAATAAAACTACAAATTGTTGTATACATACCCTTAATCAAGTTACAGTCTTATAATTAATCTGTTGTTGTTGTTTTAGTGCATATTTAGCCAAATATTTATTTTTGCTTCAAGTGGGATCATCTGGTAAAAAAAATTATCTATATTAAGTCAAAAATTAAAAAAATAGCCTTTTACCTCGTAAATACATTTAAGATTTCATTTCTCTATGAAAACTACAAACTCATTCTCGGTATATCCTCACCTCTATTCGGACTACTCCAGCCTTGTGGGATACGGGGTCGATATAGGTCATAGTTCGTAGATGGCAGGAGTCTACTGCCTACTATAGGAGCAAACTTAGGAGTGGAGGCTTTCGGGCGGGAATGGAAGTCAACTGGGAGAGTTGTTACAGGAGGAGATGTGGCTTTCGTTCCGCTTTCCTGAAGAACACGAGCAGCCGATGGGGCTGAATGAATCTCAGGCCAGAATTCCCGAAACGCAGCATCACAACTTCCTACAGGAGATTCTAAGGCAGCCTCCCAAGGACTCTTAACGATTGTCAAACGTGGAGATTCTAACATTTCTTGGAGTCTAGCGTCAGTTTTTGTCCCTGCTGGTGGCTTACTGGACATTCTTTGCTGTGATTGGTGAGCTTTGACCTTGTTTTCGTCCACAACCCATTTTTCGGACTTTTGCCTACGTTTTGCAAACATAATGGCACCTTTTCCAACGGGAGATTTCAAGTCTTTGACAAGACCCAGACAGACATCAGGACTAATCACGTTATGCTCGTTAATACTTTGGCCCTCCTTTCGCAGTTGGTGGACATCTTGTAAGTGTCTGGGATCAAGTATCAGTTTTAATTTCGTTGGAGAATTACTAGATTTAACGCATGTAGTGCTTGCTGCTTCTGATATAGAGGGTTCAACTCTTGCTTTTTCTGTACGAACCTGTTCTTTGAATGTTTTTTGTTCACGAGATTCATGTTCTGCTGCTGGATCTGAAAATTATCAGTAATATGCAAAATCAGAGTTACTCTCCATATTAGTTGACACAATAGTAATCAGAATTACTCCCCATATTAGTTAACACACTAGTAATCAGAATTACTCCCCATATTAGTTAACCCACTAGTAATCAGTCACTCCCCATAATAGTTAACACACTAGTAATCAGAGTTACTCTCCATATTAGTTAACACACTAATATTCAGAGTTACTCCCCATAATAGTTAACACACTAGTAATCAGAATTACTCCCCATATTAGTTAACACACTAGTATAGTTCAGGGTTCAACGAATAAATATATTGTATTTAATGTAGACTCATTGGCATAGTAAATTAAGAAATTAAGACAAAATACTATTTTTAAAAGTTGCTAACTTACCAATAATATCAAAACGAAAAACAAAAACTGTTTAAAAGATATGTGAAGCAGAACAGATGTAAAACCGACTTGAAACATTTATCACTGGTCTCACTGTAGCTGAAGTTATTTCGATGATTTTCAAGTGTTTTGAGCTTATGACTGCAGTTCTTAGAATGCAATTAGAAACTATACAATGGGTTTAACTGGATCAGTTTAGAATTCCAACTACGGCGGACAACATAGTAAATTATAATATTTAAATACACTTTATTTTACTGATCTCATCACAAAGGAACGTACTCAGGCCTCCAACTGTAATATTTCAATTTAATCATTTCATGGAGTTAATTGCTATAATACCTTTTGCTATATAGCATCGTTGTTCATAAATGAATGTCAGAATTTGTACTGGTATCTTATTAGAACGTAGTATATTTACGAATGCAATAGAATGGTATGTTTGAAGGGGCTTCACTCATGTCTAATGGTGAGATGAAGGAAATCACTTCACCGCTTGTCAAATCATAAAAAATGGCAAGATACCCCAGAGTACTAAGAAAGAGTTTAAGGAAATTTGAATGATCTAATTCGCTATGTTCCGAGAGTTTGGATTAATATTTATCATTCAGTAATAAAATAATGACTAATTTTAAAATGATATAAATAGCAGATTAAGGGTATTACCGTGGTTTAGGTTTCAAATTTCATTTATGTTTTTAATCTAAAAACCATAAACAACCAGAAAATAGAGATCTCACGCTAATGCATCTTTTAAATCTATCAAAGTACATCATCAGAGTAATTTTAACCGAGGAAATTAAAAACCTTAACAATATTCTAATTATGCTACACCGACTTCATGGTCATATACGTTTGTAGAACACTGCACTATTATATATATATATATATATATAAATAGACTAATTATGTAATTCCCTATAATATGCATTCATATCATAATAACTTCCGAGACAAAATGTAACAGTCAGGATACCTGACTTTCAAAGGGGCATAATAGTGAGTAGCTGTCTACTAGATATATTTAATACAGGCGTATTTATCAAAGACTATTGTTTTGGCCAGCGCTCAGTTCGTCATCACAGTCCCACAATAGAGGTAATTGAAACCGATTACGCGTGACACTAGGAAGCGCTGTCTGCTACTGACTAACCAAGGAAAGTGACGACTGAGAAGGGTGTAGAGTGTAAAAGATGTTTGATTGTGTTCAGAAGGGCAAAAAACGCCAAAAAGTATTTGATTGTGGTTGCCGATCATATCCACTTCACGATGCTGCATTTCCACCTTGCGTGACAACGGATCTTCCAAAACAATGATGCAACAAGCTACCCAATTCATAATGTCCGAAACTGGTTCAAAAACACGACAGTAACTTCAGCCACTTAACCGGATCGCATTCCGATTAAGTATCTTTGGAATAAGCATGAACGTTACACACGCCACCTTAATTCTCGGTCAACTTCTTTGAACTAATTGCACACCACATTTCTTTATAGCGATAGGTGGCCCAAGCTGTAATAGGTGGGGTATTAATAAAAAGTGGCCAGTGAGTGCACCTTCAACGATGATGGCAGAGTAAGATGCAAACTGTACGTAAGAAACTGGTAGTGGAGATACATTGACACTACTTATGAAAACAAGAAGGAAATAGATAAAAGAATAAGATAAATCGTTAGCCTTTTAACTTACATTAAGAAGTAAACTGACTTGTTTTAAAGAAAATAGAAAACGTTCTCCCTTAACACAACCATAAGGTATGATAGTCTCAAGATGAAAATGTATTTGTTGAACAACCGAATATTGGATTCAAGAAGTAAATTGGTAGCTTTTTCTTTTACCTGCTAGATATATTTGGGCCCGGCATGGCCAGGTGGATAAGGCGCTCGACTCGCAATCTGAGGGTCGCGGGTTCGAATCCCCGTCCCACCAAACATGTTCGCCCTTTCAGCCGTGGGGGCGTTATAATGTGATGGTCAATCCCACTA